GCCCCCCCAGAGCCCTCCGCCGTGCACAGCAGAGCGCCTCGCACGACACCCTCCCTGACCCTCTCCAGAGCCCTACGCCGTGCACAGCAGAGCGCCTTGCACGACACCCTCCCTGACCCTCTCCAGAGCCCTACGCCGTGCACAGCAGAGCGCCTTGCACGACACCCTCCCTGACCCCCCCCAGAGCCCTACGCCGTGCACAGCAGAGCGCCTTGCACGACACCCTCCCTGACCCCCCCAGAGCCCTACGCCGTGCACAGCAGAGCGCCTTGCACGACACCCTCCCTGATCCCCCCAGGGCCCTACGCCGTGTGCAGCAGAGCGCCTTGCACAAAATGCGCCCCCTGTCCCCCGTCTCCCCCCCCTCGGGCCCTACTCCTTTGTGCGGGTGGAGCCAGAGATGCAGCTGGTCTCAGCAATGTGATCATGTTGGATTTTGGCTGCACGGAGGCTCTGCTTGCTGCCTCTTCCTGCCAGCTACCTCGAAGCACTGGCAGCAGCATGATGCCCCGGGGTTGCTGCCCCTGATGCCAGAGCAGCTGCGGAGTGTCGGGCAGGAAGATGGTTCTGAGCCCTTCCTACACCACCTGAGTCGCCAAGAGGAAGCTGCGCTTGTGTGTGACTTGTGAGGGCGCTGCAGGGGCTGCGTGGCGCCCAGCCCCGTGCCAGGCAGGCAGGCACCTCGAAGCACTGGCAGCAGCATGATGCCCCGGGGTTGCTGCCCCTGATGCCAGAGCAGCTGCGGAGTGTCGGGCAGGAAGATGGTTCTGAGCCCTTCCTACACCACCTGAGTCGCCAAGAGGAAGCTGCGCTTGTGTGTGACTTGTGAGGGCGCTGCAGGGGCTGCGTGGCGCCCAGCCCCGTGCCAGGCAGGCAGGCTGGTTTCGTACACACGGCCCACGAGCGGCCTCATGCGCCAGTGGCCCCTAAAAACACAGGAGCTCCGGGGGGCAGGCAGCGCTTCCTGGGCTTCCGGGGGTTCTCGGCAGCCTCTGCCCAGTCAGGCCCCGGACGCCGCCAGACGCTTGCGTGGCAGTAACGCTTCCTGACGTGTGCTCCACCTCGCTGCGCAGACACGGAGACCCGGCTGGAGCCCAGCTCGCCCGCTCGGCCAGGGCCCGGCTCGGGGACTGGGGCCAGGATGACTCAGACCCTCTCCCCTCAACAACAGCCCCCTGCGAGGGTACTGGTGGGGCCCTTCTTCCTCCGCAGAGACCCCACTGCCTCCGGAGGGGCGCCTTGGTCGTTCGAGACATGGCCTCTAACCTAGAGATGTGGGCACCGAACGGCTCTGTCCTGCCACGTGCTCTAGCCCGCAAAGTGAGGGCTGCACCGCGGCCGGCCCAGTGAGTTTCCCTTTCTTACAGATCTATCCCATCCGGGACAAGGCAACACGAACCCGCCTGGCCCTCATCATCTGTAACGTAGAGTTCGAGCATCTCCCCAGGCGGGGCGGGGCCGACGTGGACGTGAGTGGGATGCAGAGGCTTCTAGAGGGGCTGGGCTACAAGGTGGGAACCTACGGATCTCCCCCCCCCGCCAGGGACTGGCCCTGGCCCCTGGGGAAGCTGCTGTGACCTTGGCTTGGTTCATTCCTGGCTCAGTTCCCCCTTGGCAGGGCCTTGGGGGTGGGGTCCTCCTGGGAGCTGGCAGGAGGGACGGGAACACTGTCTCCAGGGAAACCCTCCGGCCACGCGGGCGCTAGCTGCTGCGCCCCCAGTCCCACTCCAGTGGGGCCCCCGGACTAGCATCTTTCTGGCTGTTCTCTGACCCTGCTGTCCCCGTGTCGCGCTCAGGACATGCTGGCAACGCTGAAGCAGTTTGCTGCTCGGGACGAGCACCAGACCTCGGACAGCACCTTCCTTGTGCTCATGTCCCATGGCGTCCGGGCAGGGCTGTGCGGGACGAAGAGCCACGGCGGGGCCACGGACATCCTTCCCGTCGACACCATCTACAGCACCTTCAACAACAAGAGCTGCCAGGCCCTGCTGGGCAAGCCCAAAGTGATCATCATCCAGGCCTGCCGGGGGGGTGAGCTCTGGGGCTCGCGGGAAAGGGCACCGGGGGCTGCCTGGTGTGTAACTGGTGCCCGTGTTCCCAGAGAGCCAGGGACACGTGTGGGTGAGCGACTCCGCAGAGCTCCCTGGAGATGGCGCCAGCCCTGCGCCATGGCCCACCGAAGAGCTGGAAGATGATGCCACCCACCAAATCCACGTGGAGAGCGATTTCATCTGCTTCCACTCCACAACGCCAGGTACCTGCTGCCAGGGCACAGGCTGGGGCTGGGGCTCTGCTGGGACGTGCACCCTGAACACCCCGGTCTGCCCGGGGTCCCTCCCAGCCCCCCGGCCTCCTCCTGGCCAGCCCTCGGGGCCTCGTCCTCCCAGCCACTCGCTGGGCTTGGAGGCACTGTCCTCCCCTCCCCTCTGCACATCAGAGCCTGTGTGGGGGGCTGCCCTGTGCCCTGCTCAGGGGTTCCCAGGGCTCTGCCCTTGGCCCCTTTCCCCTTGCTCCCCGGACCAGCTCGCAAGACTCCGCTCCCCTTTCCGCCCGGTGGCTCTCAGCTCTCGCCCGGCTCTGTCCTGTCACCCTGCGCACGGCTCAACCCAGAGCCCTTCCCCTTCACCGTGGTCGACAGCCTGTGGGGCTGTGGGCCTGTTTCCGACCCCGCCCTCTCCCTCAGCATCGCCAAGATCCTTCTTTGCCTTCCAATCCCTCCTGCAGCTCCCACCCCAACAGCTGCCCCAGCCTCCTCTGGCCACCCGGCTCCTCCCTTTGCCTCTAGCCCGCCCAGAACCCAGGGACAGAGCCGCCTTCCTGGTCCGTCCGCCCCACTGCATCCCGCCCCTGGCTCTCAGCAGCTCTGATCAAAGCCAGGCCTCTGGCCACCTCCCGCAAGTCTCTGTCCAGTTCTCCCTTTCCCTGATGCTCATTCCTTCCCAAGCGTTGTATTACCCACCCCCCTCTGCTGCGCCAGGGTCCCTCCCGCTCCTGCCCGTTTGCCATGCTCTCTAGCATTCAGTCATCGCTTGCCTCCTCCCCAGGCATGGGCTCCCAGAGTCCCCTGGAGGGCCCCTGCTATCCCTCTTGGGGATTGCTGACAATCAGCGAACTGTTCCTCCGCCCTGACAGCTGTCAGCCTTCCGGCCCAGGCTGCCCTTCCTGGGCTGCCTGGAAAAGCCTCTCATGGTGTGACGGGACTGCAAAGAGCAAAGTGCCCGTGGTGTGCCGTGCCCGTGGCGTGCCGTGCCCGTGGCGTGGTGTGCCCGTGGTGTGCCGTGCCCGTGGTGTGCCTGTGGTGTGCCCATGGCTTGCCT